GTTGATGTTAATATGGTTTTATGTGATTTTAAAAAAACAACAATGTTTTTATATTTTAATAAAATATAAATTAAATATATCATAAAATTTTGATAAAAATATATGGATATTAATATTAAATTAACTATTTAAAATTCATCTTTTTTGTGCAACTTTTTAATTCAATTTTTTTTCTTATAATTTAATTTAGGTTGAATAACGAAGTAATTTGTTTTGGTTTAATAATATAATTTTCTTATAAAGATAATAATTAATTATTTTTGTTAGAACTCGATAATTATCCTAATTATATTTTAGATTTTTTACATTTTAAAATGATATGTTATATCCTCTATGTATAAAATATGGTTTTTAAAATTTTTTATCAAATGTTTTATAATGTGGTATACATAATATAGAATATGAATTTTTAAATTCATGTTTTTGTATTTAAATAATTATAAATACATTACGAGAATTTACAAAAAAAAATCTTTCTAAGAATATTCACCATTTATGAACACATGCACCATTTTGAAACCATTAATTTCATTTTTTATGTATAAAAATTAAGGAAATTAATTGAAGTAATCAATTTTTTAAAAAATTTTAAATTTTTTTGTGTTTTTTATACTCTTAACATTAGATTTTACACTTTTATAAATTTATCTGATCACATCACTCACAAATTCACGAATTCATAAACGTTATGAATTCACTATTAAAAATAAGTTATAAAATTATTTTTATAAGTTCTATTTTAGATATTCAATCAAAAACTAATTTTATAGTAATAATATATATATAATATACTTCTTCAAATATGAATGTACATTTTTTTTAAATCATTATTTGATCAGATTAATATATAGAAAACATATACATAAATATATAATTATCTATACTATAGTATAAAACATTTGACAAAAACTCTTAAAACCCACTTTTTATGCGTAAAATACTGTTTATTAATACGTATTACTTAAAACTCAAGATTGCAAGTAAAGTGTGCATAAGTACAACTTATTAAAACTTCATATCTGAATTCATCTAACTAACTGCAGATAAACATAATCAAATACATGATAAACATCTCATTTTAAATATAAAAAATTTAAATATAGATAATCATCGAGCTCTAACAGAATCTATATCTATACTATATTATAAAGCATTTGACAAAAACTCTTAAAAACCACTTTTTATGCGTAAAGTACTGTCTATTAATGCATATTACTTAAAACTCAAGATTGCAAGTAAATTGTGCGTAAATACAACTTATTAAAACTTCATATCTKAATTCGTCTAACTAACTGCAGATAAACATAATCAAATATATGATAAACATCTCAATTTAAATATATAAAATCTAAAATATAAATAATATTGAGTTCTAACAGAATATTTAATTATTATCTTTATAAAATGTTATATTACTAAATTAAAAATAAATTATTTCGTTATTAAACTTAAATTAAATTATAATAAAAAAAGTAATTTAAAAAAATTACATAAAAAATAAGAACTTTTAAATAGTTTTATTTGATATTTACATTGATATATTTTTTTTTTCAAATTTTTATGATATCTTCAAATTTATATTTTATTCAAAAATAAAATCATTATTGTTTTCTTAAAAACACATAAAATCGTATTATAAAATCGACAGAGACAAATAATAAAATAGAACATTAAAATCGAGATGCGTCTGCTGCATTGCGCGAGTACTATTCTAGTATATATAACATACAAATTTGTCGCCTTATATCACACATTGAAAAATATCGCATCTTTGTCGTGGCGTGTAAGGCTTGAGGCTTAACCTCATCGCCATGCCTCACGCTAAGGGTGCTCAAAAACCCGACCAACCCGATCAACCCAACTCAACATGAAATAACCCAACCCGAAGCAACCCGATGTCTAATCGAGTTGTAAAATTGTCAAACCGTACGTATTGGGTTACTATTATTTGAACTCAACCCAACCCGATGAACCCGATATCCTTTTATTTCTTGGATTTAATATGATTGTTGAATTTCTATTAATATATACATTAGACGATTAGACTATCATGTATGCTTTTCATATACACATATTTTCAATCTATTCATATCTCTATATAACTCATTTAGTAACTGTGAAAATATATATGTAAATTGAGAAAATTAATTGAATGTGATATACGTAAGAAATATGAATAAGTTGTATCAAATGGTTGATGATGAAAAAGAAATTATGAGTAGAGAAATAACATATTCAAGGTTAGAAAAATATTTTAATATACCAAAGTATCAACCCGACCAACCCGACTAACCCGTACGGGTTGGGTTGGGTTGAGTTGCACTTTGGTTTGAGTTGAGTTGGGTTAAGGTTTTTCCAAACCGCAAGCATTGGGTTGGGTTGTTCAAATGTCCTCAACCTGATCAACTCAACCCATGAGCACCTCTACCTCACTCCATTTGAACCCTGGTAAAAATACACTCACAATTTCAAATATAACAAGAGATATTGATTAGTAGAAACTATAGAATTCAATTAATTAAGATATTTATTAAAATGATGATAATTCATTTATTATAATCAACATTTTATATCAAAAAACAATTGAAATATTCATTAAATCATATTCACTACGGTTGATATTGATTTGTATGGTTTATACTAATAATTAGCTTTATAAATTTCGGTTACATATATGTAAATTACATAAAATAATATTAAATTATATCTATACTATATTATAAAGCATTTGGCTAAAACTCTTAAAAACTCTTAAAACTCTTAAACTCTTAAAAACTCTTAAAACTCTTAAACTCTTAAAAACTCTTAAACTCGTTCATCCCTATCCGATTTCATCTCATATTTGAATTCGTGTAACTAACTGCAGATAAACACAATCAAATACAGGATAAACATCTCATTTTAAATATAAAAAATCTAAA